AGTTTTTCAAAGAAATTTTTTTTCTTAGAATTATTCACAACATATATAAATTGACTCAATTCTTGCAGTACACGTAACAGTCGGATGCGAATCCGATGTTTCCTCATTTATTTAATCATAAATTGATTATAGAATGATCAGATAGAATATTATTAATAATACAATTGAAACAATCGGGAAAACGTTTTTAAAAAGAAAAAAAATAACAACATAAACAATTGTAAATATATCTATTTGACATGATTCCTAAGCTTTCTGTTATCGAAATCGAGGAAAAACAGAAAATCATTTATAAAATAGCATCTCGATAAACATTTTTTAAGTGTTTTCTCTCTTTTCTTTCTCTATTAATCTTAAAACTTTTCAGATTTATATAAACATAAAGGAATCTAGTTAATAAACAAAATTGTCTGAGCACATTAATGGTAGCAAGGATTCATCATTCTTAGAGAATATTAAATGAGCGATCAACTTCTTTGTTTTTATTTTAATTACAGAAATAGCTTTATATGGAAATAATTTGATGATTTCTGTCACACAAAGGCCATGTTATTGAAATATAATTAGTACAATGGCAACTTTTTCATCTCGGGGGAAATGAAATATAATAAAACATTCATAATATTTTTTTCGTTAATTATTTATCAATTGAGAATTTTGTGACATGCAGAATAAATGCAAAGACTAGCTGATCATTTTAATAAAATTATGTTTTTATTGTGCAGTTTTCAATGGTTCTTTCATATTAGCAGATTTATTTTCAATGATTTTATCATTGTTAATTTAAATACAATGAAAATTTACGCAAAATAAAAATAAATATTACATGCTAGAAATTTTGTCTCGTACTTCAAAATGGATTATGAGACATAGGCTGAGTATTTAATTCGGTATAATCAGTTCAATTATTCTGTTTAATAAAAACAAATGAGACATTTGATAAATGCAGTTATTAGAAAAAAAATCATTTCAAGTCTGAAGGAAGAAATCTGTCAAATGATTAATCAGTTTTTAGTCAAGACCGCGTATGTCACATCGACTCGAACTTACGATGAGTGTTCTTGAAAAATCGCAACCCTTAGCTAATTTAATACCGACATGCTGCATTTTTAAACATATTCTCAAGTAAATAATGTAGTACTCTTCAGAATTATCAGAAAAAATAACCTTCAAAGTTCAATTTGAAAATTTGCCTAGACATAAACTTTAACGAGATTAGTTTATTGTAACGCCTTTTCTAATTTCATTATTTCTATCTTAAGGTGTATTTTTGCTATGATGAAACTAAATTTTATGTTGTTTTTATAAACTTTCAAAGTTGACTATCTTGTTTTTTATACAAGAAAATAAAAATTTGGCAAATTTCGCAATATGAGCTAGTTTTCAAAAGTCCAATCTTTGAAGAAAGTTTTAAATCGAGCTTTGAAAATCATCTATCCTGCTATTTCTCAAAGACATAAAGCAAGTCAGACTCCTTTCATTGTGTTTATTGATTATTAGGACCGACATGATGCGTTAAAAATTATGAATGTCTTGAAGAACTTCTGTTATTGTAGGATAATCTGTTTTCTTGATATAAAATAGAAGAGATTATTATAAATGGCAAAGTCAATACAAGGAAGTTCAATAATACTAAAAGAGTGAAAGTACAATTAAACAATCAATAATTTCGACCCAATATTTGCTTCCGTTAAGTAGAAACATTTTTTTCATTTCGGACCACTTCCGTATAGAAAAATAAACGTGGCCGATTAACAAGAAAACTTTTATTTATTTATTTGGATTCTCAAGGTTTATTTTTCTCGTGCATAGTTTTTTACAAAAAAATCTAACTATCATAATCAATGAATTCCTATGATCAAAAAACAAATTTTCAAAACGATTTTTGATTGTAGAACAATAAATATCTAGTATAGATAAACATGAAAAATATATTTTTTTTTAGATAAAATATGTGATTTCGTTAATAGAAAATTTATTTATTTTCACTTAAATAATTTTTTCGTTCTACTTCATTTAATGTTTAAAAAGATGGAATTTTCCATAGATTAATATTTAGTTTACTTCATAGTAAAACGCTCTTCAAACCTTAGACTATCTTGTATTAAATATTCTTAAGCTTAATTTTCTTTTATAGTTATTAGTAACATTCAATCTTGATGAGACCTAGCACAAATGTAAAAGTTTTGTTTTTATTTGAAATATGCATAGACAAAGAAATTCTTCTTAATGAAGAGCAAAGAAAGTCTGATTTCATGCGTATCTTATTTTAATATTTCACAAAGTATCAAGAATTTCAATAAATAAAAATTAACTCAAGAATTTGAAATTGAAATGTCGTTGATAAATTACATGTTCTCTTCTTTTTCAGAGCTTTTTCTCGATTTGACGTAGATCAGACAGTCCGTTTCGGAAATATTATACATTATAAAAAACGATTTTTGAAATTCAATAATTGTACCTATTGAATTAACACTCGTTAGTGCTATTGCATGATTTTCTTCTGTTACCACTGATTTCGTTGTAATTATCTAAATAGAATTAAAATAAAATATTGAATAACTAAATAATAATAATAAACAAAAACGTTTCAGTTGTTGATTGGGTTCATCGTTGTGCATGTCTTCATCAGCAAGTTCGGCAACTTTTGCAGTGATTTAATCAATTTGTTGGCTCACTTTAGCTTGTACCTCTTTAGAAAAAAAAGAAGTCATTTTCCATTGTTTCACTCTATTCTCTAGTTAATCGATATCTTGTCGTGTTAAGGCAAAAACAGTTTCTTGACACTCATTTAAAAATTGTTCAAGACCAACTAATAAACAGTTTTTTTCAGTATCTAATTGAGCAAGACGTTCTTGTAAACATTGTTTATATTGCAGTTCAATTGTTATTGAAAGTTTATTAGTATCAGATAATAATTTTTGTTGTTGACCTGTCGTACGAGAAACAACTCTGTCAAATAGTATTTCATACAGGTTCGTTTATTTTCGCAGTATGTTTTTTCGAATATTCATCTATTTGATGATATGTTTTACCTCAATTTAAGAAAAAAGTTAAAATAAAATCTGTTTCATTTTTCTCTTCGAAAAAAATTAATTTACCAAGTTTATTGATAAGATCAAAGAGTTTTTATCGAATTTTTCATATTAACACTTGTATTCGTTTCAGTTCAAACATTTAATTCAATATGAACATCTTCACTAATAGTTTGATGAACAACAACGAGTGAGTTTATTGATGAATCACTGGTCAAATGTTTTTTTCAATTTTTTCATGACATTTTTTATCATCTAATATCTTTATCATGTTCAAATAATCCATTCATTTTAGGGTGAAATTTTATTATTTGATTCTAAATTTAATAAAATGAACGCACATCTCAACAAGTAGAAATCTTTTTTCTTGCGTATAATTTCAATGTTATTATAAATGGAGCAAAAATAAATATTTGACCCATGTATTTTACTGAATAAATGAATCAATGAATCAATAGATGGTATTTATTGTCGCCCTTTTTCTTACAACATGAAATGTGCTCTGGTCGTCTGCAGTCGGAGGCATCCATCGCGTTTCAAAGGCTATTCTTCTTCTTTTTTCTTTTTCGTTCGATTCTGCTTATCAAGTCTAAAAGAAAAAGAATGACTATACGATGATTGGCTTCTTTCTACGTAATAGATAAGTTTTGATCTATTTTCCCATTACTTAGTATTAGATAGATGAATGCTTTCAAGGATAATCCAGAAAACAAGTAGATAATTAAAAATGAAAGTATTGCTTTTTTTCAATGAATCATTTATTTATGTCAAGGTATTATTTAAATTGCATTAAATATCATATGCATTATTAGATAAATCATTAGAAAAAGGAACATGTTGAATGCTATTAGGAAGAAGAATAGCGAACTTTCTTTTATTATGATTAAACCAAATCAAGTTCACATTATTTGCCATCTGTCTGATATTTCTCAATCCACTTATTAATATATTAATATTCTTTGAATATATCGTTTTTTTTTGTAGATGTATGGTAATTTATTTCTATACGATCTGAAATATAAATTAGTTGCATTTGAATCGGGTTCATTGTCGTCATCATCTCGATGCTTGATACTTATCGGTGGTCTTAGTGATGGTCTTTTATCACTTCCTTATGTTGAAAGACTTTCATCTTCACTCGAATCTCTTTCAGACCCGTACACATTAATTCAACCATTATTTCGTTCATCGAATCTTCAATATGGTTGGCATACGATCGATGATGATATTGAAGATTTAAAAACATTAATTGAATATTTAATTAATAATCGACCTAATTTAACATCGATTATATTAATGGGACATTCGACTGGTTGTCAAGATATTATTCATTTTCTACGTCAAGAGAGAAAACATCTAAAAATTCACCGAGTTATTCTTCAAGGACCTGTTAGTGATAGACAATATTTATCTCAGCTTTCTTCAACAAAAGATCAATTAAATTATTGTTTAAAAAATGATGAAAATATCAAAGAATGGTTACCAAGATATCTTCATGATCCACCATTAACTGTTCAACGTTGTTTATCTTTTAATCAACCAAATTCAATTGAAGATCTTTTTTCAAGTGATTTAACAGATGAACAATTGAATCAGATTTATGAAAAAATCGAAACACCAATAACATGGATTTGGTCAAAACAAGATGAATATGTTCCATCGAGTATTAAAGATAACGTTGAAAGTTTTGTTAAGAATAAATTAGCAAATAAAAATAATTCAACATTTTTACTGCTTGAAGAAGCAGATCATGCTATTAATAATCAACAAGAACAAATTTCTATGATTGAACATATTACTCAACTTATCTTATCATCTAACAAATAATTAATCATATTATAACTGTAATTGATTAAAATACAATAACTTTTTTACATTTCAATCAATTAAGAACTTGCAGAAAATCAGTCAACGATATTTATTATTCATACACTTTATCTTGTTATTTACATCAATCTTCTTCATGAATATCTTGAACAATAAATCTTTTATAATCGAATCTTGAAAAGAATGAAACATATTTTAATTGATATTAAATCACTGTATGAACCATCTCTTGATAGTCGTTTTTATCGATACTTATTATTATTCAATTAAAACATTCATGTATATGACCTTTTACAAATCTTTATATCCATAGAAGGCTTTTTAATATCATGTCTGAAAAATCAACGATTGATATTTCTATCATTCTAACATTAATTAAATCATCTTTCTTGATACTATTTTTTGAATATTTTTTTTAGTTTGAAACATACTCTTTTCTATTATTAATCAGTTAGCATTTCTCTACTACTCATTCATAGAATAATTCTTGTAGGATAGTAGTGGTTTACCGATTAATAATTGTAACTGAGAGCAAAACATTTCAATTGAATTCTCCTAAATTATTTATCAAAAAGGCGGAAACATCGGATTTGCATCCGAATGTTATGTGTACTTCAAAAAAAGTTATAATAAAATAGAATAGGTCACTGTTCACATAGAAAATAAGGATACTTTTTATGTGACTCAATAAATTCTTAACCGATTGCTTTCATCTTCGAACTCGACTGAGATATTCATGAGATCACTCTGTGTACAAAATTTCATGACAATTGGATGAGGCTTTCGAAATTTATCGTGTTAACGAACGGTCGGACGCACTGGCCGAATCTAGTGTACTCACTTTTTGCGTACACAAAAACAAAAAAAACAATTCAGCAGAAATTTAGAAGTCGAGTAAAATTCTAAATCTTTCCAGTGTATTTCAAAGAGCCATCAAATGTTATTGGTTTAGTTCCTGATAGAATCCTCTCCTTCATATACCTATCTTGAAACTAATCAACAAGTCATATTTCTGAAAAAAAAGACGACTACTTTAAAAAAATCCTTTTCATATGTTATAAGAATAAAGGTTGAACTTAAAACAAGATTTTTCAATTAAATATTCTCTTTAAAATGCTATCATGTTATTGGCTGCAAGGTAATTCATTGAAAAAATTGATTTCCATAATCAAAAAATTTACAAATTATTACATGTTATCAAAGAAAGATTTGTAATGCAAAAACAGTTCAAACAGCCATTCGATGAAAATGACATTTCCATATGTACATGTCAAAGCCATAGCACTATTGTTTTTCATAGAACATTTCCTCTTAGAGATTTTAGTGTGGCAGCACCGATATGGTTTTATCAGCAACGTCTGCGGTGGTATACGTTTGGAAAACATAATAAAAGCACATGTTTCGACACAAAATTTCAAAGATCAATGATGTAATAGTATGACATTCACGACTGCAATGTGCATATTTGACCTCAGTTATTTTATTCTCACGATATGATAAAAATATATATTTTATTTAGTGTAGATGTAATTTGATTATTCTTGTCAAAAACAAATTATACAAAGATTACTAAAGGATAAAAACCGCAGCATTTTGTATCTAAAATCAAAGTTTATTTCTATTATCAAATAGAAACATATATTGAAAAATGTGTTTTTTTTATCTAACTCTTGGTGAATTCATGATTTTCCTAAAGTTATCTTTGAAATAAACAAAGCTTAAGTTTCTTTTCTAGATTCTCGCCTGCTTAAAACCATCTTCAAATATTGTAAATATATTCTTGAATATCTTTTTGTCAATAGCAATGAATATATCAATGAGCAATCTCATTTCGTTGTGAATAAAACATTTTCAAATTATTCTGTTTCTACAGCCAGAAAATTATTATGTAAATATTTCAATTTCTATTCAGATTTGAATTAGAAAAGTGATTATTTATTCAAGATAAAACCAAATAAGAATATTAAAGTAAAATACGTATTCATTTTTCGTATTATTTCTAGTCTCTCTTTATTTTATGAATTTTGAAAAATACACTCTCTACTATTTTTGTCATCTTGATATTACTTAATGATTTTAGTCAATTCACCAGAGATATTAGATTTTCTTCAAATAATTTCACTTCATTCATTTCTATCATGAAATGAAATTTGAGCAATGAACTAGTTCATAATTACTTTTGACTAATTTCAATGTTCGATGAAGATATTTCGTCTTTATCAATGAATTTTTCTTACTTTTATAAATGTTTATCAGAACTTCGATCAACATCGAAAGGCACTTCTTCATAAAAATTAGAATCTGTTTTTCAATAAGCAATCAATCAAACTTCTGTATATTTCGTTATGTTTCTTCAGCAATTATTCTTTTATTTATGCAGATTTTTCGAACAAAGAGTGCATGCACATAAAATGATTCTATTCATACAGATACGGTACATATAGAAAAATGCTAACGATGCATGAAAAACTCATGACAAAGAATGAAGTTGATTTATTCCACAAAAATTTGAATTGATTGATTATTACCTAATCCAGTATGGGGATGTAGCTCATATGGTAGAGCGCTTGCTTAGCATGCGAGAGGTATTAGGATCGATGCCCAACTCCTACAATTAGTACATTTTTTTTCTTAAAATTATCATCGACCAATTGGAAAATAAGTACATAGGGCAATCCAAAAGTAGTGGAGGAGGTACCTTATTTCCTCAAGCAGAAGTCGAAAAAAGTTTCTTGTTTCACCAATAGATAGAGTGTTTCGCTCTATTTTTCTATGCCATTTGATCACTATCGACTAATATCATAATAGTAAAATTTCGATAAGATCTGTTTGTTTCGCAAATGTGCTGGTAGCATGAATGCTCGTGAGTATTTTTTGAATAACGTTTAATAGCAGCAGGATACATAACTACGGTTTGCACTATTGAAAAAAGGAGATGAAGGCGCCTCGAACTTTAGATCACTGATTTTTCGAATAGGATTTTTGAAGTGTTTCTATTAAATTTTCTAACCTTCATAAAATGCTGTTTTTATGAAAAACAGCAAAAACAAAAAAGTTGATAGAAAATCGTAGCATAGGTTCGTCTAGAATACGCATTATCCACAAATACTTAAATTTAACGTCTGAGTCTTTCGCAGTTTGTAGATCATCGATTAGTGGTTTGAGTGTGAACTTGATTATTAAAAATTCACTGTAAACAACACACGAGATAGGTTTGTTCTTTAAAAGGACAACTAAAATCCATACAAAAAATAGGTTAGATAAATCAGTAATATATGATGCGATGCGTCTTCTCTTTCCAATGGTGAAAACCGTAGTTCTGTAACTTGTTGCTATTAAACGTTATTCAAAAAATACTCACAAGCATTCATACTACCAGCACATTTGCGAAACCAACAAATCTTATCGAAATTTTACTATCATGATATTAGTTGAATAGCGATCAAATAACACAGAAACATAGAGCGTGTTTCCCTCTATATATTGGTAAAAAAAATGTTT